CCTCCTGGGGAAAACATGGAATAAAGAAACTGGTGGTTTGGGGTCCTCAAGCACCATTACCTTAAATGCTCCTGATTTTCAGGAATCCTCCAAGACTCTCTGAAAGAGCTGCCATGCTGGGAAGTCCAAGCACGTGAAGCAGTCAGCTTCGGCTCCATGTGAAGGAACACAACTGACTCCAGGGACGATTTTAGCTATACTTCTGCTTCCATTTGAAACACATTCTGCAAATGGGTCCTGCGAGAGGAGCGCCCCGGACCATTACCTTAGTTCAGCTTTAGTTAGCTGAGTTCTCCCTGTACTTCATCGGCAGAAACACCACCACGTACGGCAATTCCGCAGCCTACGGAGAGGAGAGCATTATGGCTGTAGATGCTAAAAAAAGAAGGTGGGAAGGCAGTTGATGCATTTAAGGGGCAACAGCAATACCTATGCTGTCCATCCACTTGCCCTCCCTCCTGAGCACCCTGCCTTCATGAGGGTCTTCAAATCTCCTCCACGCAAGCCATCCCACAACGCTGGTTTCCTGCCCAGCCATTAAGTTCCCCCTCCAGGACACCATTGATGTCCCTGCGAGGGGATGGGGGATTTCACTCTCAGCAACCCTCTCTGCTCACAGCAAAACCTCCAGTACCTGCCTGCAAGGGAGCTGTTACTGATATTTCACAGGAGCTGGCAGAGGTGGTGACATCTGCGCAATAGATCAGAGGGGGCAAGGAGGAGAGGGGTGGGAAGGCACGCTCTCTTTGAGCACAGCAGAGGATTTAATCCTCAACGTAACAGTCGGGCTGAAATATTGGTGCCCCCTTCCTGCACACACACTTTACCCTCTCCCTGCCTTGCCCCCTCTGCATGCTGTGGCACCTAGTGACCAGCTAGCTGTACAGTGACACCAACTCTGCAGCCTTGCAGCAGGGGACCAAGGGTGACATCTCTGCCTGTGATGAACCACTGGTATTCCCAGCAGAAACCTCCAGGCAGCTATCATCTAAAGTCATGTTTAATCTGAAAATAATTGAACTTACATTTGTGGGAGGATCTGAGCCCAGCACCCTTCCACTGCTGCCACTTCACCCAGCTGTGACATCAGCAGGACCTGGACCAGGGCCACTGGCCACAGCCCTGGTGAACTGTCATAAGCAAAGACTTCACCCTATGTCCTCCTCTACAAAGCTGCAGTGTTTATAGCACTGTTTTAAGAAGTTTTAATTAACAATCAGTGAGACAGTATTGAAATAATCTTTTTTTTCCAATTGTACTTCTCACTCAGGCATGGAAACTCAACGTTTTCCAGAAATAGGTACAGATAGAGGACACATTTTTCCTTAGGCAAAGTAAGTACATTTTATTAAGTGTGTGATCTTAGATGCTTGAGCAGTTTTTTTCAAAATACAGTTTGATGCTATTTCGGTCCCTTCAGTGTTTCAGGTCAGTATTGCAAGTACAGGCTAATTACCTCCTGAAGTTACTGATCAAGAAGTCATAATTAATATCTCAACATTTCACCACTTCCTGATTTTATTTCTATTTCTTCCCCTATGCAAACTACTTAATAGCAAAGGATGCTTTGCAAAGTAGGGTGATTAGAGGAGATTTATGTATAATTATTAAAAACATTTCCAAGTTCTATTTCCATATTTTTTAACATTCCTGAAGGGCATTTTCTGCAACAAAAAAAATCTCCATTTCTATTAACACTTCATTCCCCTTTACACTATTAATCCTGTACTCGCCTGTCTTGATTAATCTCACAGTCACTGCCACGACATCCTCAGAACTGGCAAGTAGGGCAGGGAAAAGCAGCCAGGACACGAGCTGGACCCTGGTGTGAATGGCTCCATCCAGACAGGACAGCCAGGGCTCAGTTGCAGGAAGATGGTCAGATGGCAGCAGTGGCATCAGCAGAGCTCAGTGGTCCTGACTTCCTCCAGCACAGAGCCACGGCCAAAACGAAACCCAACAAGGTAGTTTCCCTTGTCACTCCTTAGCTGGGGCAGCGGATGCCGGCCATGCTGTCCTGCCGCCACTGCACAGAGCCAGGTTGGAGATATCCCCACCCCAACGCAGCACACGGTGGCAGTTGCCCCCATGACTACAGCAGAGGAGCTACCCCCGGCGCCATGGTGTACCCTCCCACGGGGGCACGGCTGGGCTGAGCTGCTGCTGCCCTCCCCTCTAGCCTCGCCACTGCCAACCCACCCCGACCCAGACCAGTCACTGCTGCAGGGTTTTCACAGCAAAGTGCAGAAAACTCAGCGGAGGGCAGCACACCACCACTTCTCCTCTTGGTGCAGACTTTGCACTTCCATCTGAGCTGCAGCACAGGTGGACGGACACCAGCTCTGTAAAAGGTTTCTTAAGGGAAGGAGCAGTGTCCCGGCCACAGAGCAGTCCTGTGCCTGGTTAACAAAAGATAAGCAGTGCTGGGGAGAGGGAGAGGAAAGGAGACGTGATTCACCTCTCCACGACTTCTTGTCCGTTCCAGCAAAGAGTGTTGTTCTGAACAGCAGAGCTGTGGTTGCAGATGTACTCTGGCAAGCTGCTGTAAAAACTGCTGTGGGACTTCAGCTTCGTAATGAGTTCCCTGGAAGAAAGGGAAGGAGGGGGAAAGGGTGCTCAGTCACAAGAAGAAAAGAAGATGGGGTTGGTGCATTTTAACCAGTGAAGGTAGTTGCACAAACACAACAAGAAAGCAGCTGGGTGCAAACCAACCGTGAAGCACCAGTCTTATTTCTGACTTCAAGTAGCATTTTGCATCATCCCCTGATGTTATTCAGTCAAGGGCCGAATCTGTGTTTCTTGAGGCAAAACCACTGGTGACAGGAAGGATGCTGGGGCAGCAGAACCTCAGCCCAACCATGGAACACACCAAAGCCAGACATACTCTGTGCTCTCACAGCACCTAAGGAAAGGTGCAGCTGGCTCAGGCCGTGCACAGATACAGCAAGTGCTCAGGCTGCCAGCAGTCCCCTCCGCTTTGCAGAAGGCAGCAGAGACCCTTTAGGAAAGGACAACCTTGTCACTTTGTCTGCCTGACATCGACCATCCAGCAAGGGCAGGTGGCATTTTTGCTGGCAGACCAGAGCAGACACTCTCAGCACAGACCGGTATGCTGGGTTTCATGCTGCATCATTGAAAATACACAATTTAAAGGTGTTCACTGGGCTGGCCGTGGGGTCACAGTCCGCATTCCAAGAGGCAGGTTACACTCAGCAAAACGCCTCTGCCCCGGGAAGACAGGAGGAGCTGCAGGAGCAGCACATGTGCGCCAGACAGAGGGGATGTGAATCCGGCTGCACCTCCACCCTGTGCCCTCTCTTCCCAGCACCACGGACCTTTGTCCCCGGCAGGTCCCCTTTGGCAGCAGTGCAGAGGTGCCAGGCACAGGCTGACCGTGGGGACTCTGACAGCCAGCAGAAAGGGGATGGGGCTGCAGGATGCGCCTGTACTCCCTGTCCCCTCAGGGGCACTCAGCAGCTGTCACCGGGAAACACCGGCAGATTTAATTAGGTAAAAGGCACAAAAAGTAGGACAACATGAATAGCAGGGACCAGAGAAAGCAAGATTTGATCTCACAGTCTCCCAGCCTGGGTTCAGCGCGTTTCCCCCTTAGGCAAGGGGTTATTTCTTTGCCTCCTTCCCTCCCTGGACGGATGATGAGGGATCAGCACCCAGAGCTGAGCGCCCTGTCAGGGGCATCCCCTCCGTCCCTGCAGTGGTGGGACCTCCGTGCCCAGCCAGCTTCCGGAAGCTGCCCAGCAGCGCCAGGCTGGGGTGCAGAGGGGGTGCCCAGCTCCCTCCAACCCTCCTTGCTGGAAGATTTCATAGGGTCCCCTCTCCGACGAAGCCCCCGGCTGCCAGCTGAGGGCAGGCGAGACAAGGAGAAGACACTCCAGCGCCAGCGAAGGCAGCCTGAGCTGCTCCGCGCTGCTCTGCCTTCCTGCTAACTCTTCCCCCTGTTAAGGAGCCTCTGTCTGCCCTGATCGGACTGGCACAGCCCTGTTTCTGCCCTCATCGGACTGGCACTGCCCGTGCAGGCAGAGCTGGCAGCCGATGGAGGTGGAGGACCACCCAAGTCCTCCCTCGAGTCACCACAACGCAGCCTGCCAGGGTATCGTGAGCCCCAATCCGTCCGTGCCAACAAACGAGGCCTGAGGAGACAAAGCCCCTCCAAAGGGCGGGAGTTCAGCCCTCAACCCTCTCTGCACAAACTGGAGAGGTGCTTCAGACATTCACCTCCTGCATGGACCACCTCCTACGGCATCGCCTGCATCAGGCTTACAGTGGAGTAAGAGGTACGACCAACACCGTTTGGAAGCCAAAATGGGGCAAGACCTGGGTCTTTAGTTATGTCAAACCGTGAGCAGGACAAGCCTTACACTGCCCATCATGCCCAGCTCCCTACACCCTAGGCACTGCCTTGCTCCCTGTCCCACAGACCCCAGCAGCACTGGGGAGAACGGATGGAAGAAAACTGCTGGGGTGTAGAGCTCCCCGCCGGGCAAGAGGGGAGGGGAAGGGAGAAACTCCTCCGTATCTGCAGGTATGAGCTCATGTAATTTATTGCAGTAGACTTCGTTAGTCTTCACAGACCTCAAAGGACATCTCCAGCAGAACCTGGGCTATGTAACTCTTCAACGTGTTGAGACAACACAGGAATGCAAGTCCTGGTGCTATATCTCATGGGAACCATATCAAGAATGTGGCCCTGTTACTCTTTAAAGACAAATCCATCCAACTTAGTCTATCCCCAGTTCCAAAAATTGCCAAGCTTGCCTGTTTCTCTTCTGCAGGAATTTTTCTTGTATTCAGGACAGCAGTAAAGGTACCACATGCCTCCGGGTGTGCTTTCAGATCCAGAGGGGAGATGCTTCTCCCTGTCACACCAGTGTGAGCCCACTGAATTACAGTTGCTATTTACAGAGGGAAGGAAGCACAGGGTGCAGTGCCAGCAGCGGAGGCACCTGCTTCACTTTGAAAATACTCAGCAAAAGGCTGTTAACATTCCTGAACTACTGTAAAAGACTGCACAAAAAAAAGTCAAATGAGTTCTCCTTACCTATGCACACAGCATTACACAAAACATTTCAGACTAGAGCGACCGTTTCTACCTATAACTACACCTGTGAGTATTTCTGGCACTACAGTAGTGCCCAAGAAACCCAGACAAGGCATTTTGTGTATGAACCTGGGTGCCCAGTGCATTGCAAAAAAGAAAAACAAAGATGAAAAGTCAGAGGTAGTTTTACAGGTTTAAAAAAAAATAAAAAGTTAGATGCACTAGGTAAGAAAACACACATAGACACCTTGCTGGGCTTCAGAGCCAGCCATAGAGCAGCTCTGATGTTCAGAGTCAAACAAGCTGCTGGTTTATAAGTAAGAGAAATAAGTAGTTCTTCCATGGGGCCATCCCATATGACAATCACTCCTGCACCCCATCCCGTAGGCACCATGCTCCACCCGAGCATCCTCACCTTCTCCTGCTCGACAGAGTTTCTTCTTGCTCGATGTGAGTCACCTTCAGGACTTTCTTGTCAACTAAAAGGTCTTCAGGGTAATTAGCTGATCGATACTGTCTCTGCTGAGCGTGGCCGCACAACCGGCTGATCTGGAAAACACAAACAGCAGTGTGAGGAAATGCTGGGACCAGAAACGCTGCAGGAAAACAGCTGAGGTGCACACTGGCCCCTGCACACAAGCGGGTCAGTTGTCCCGTCATCCCTTCTCTCCCACAGCTCACCAAGCACCTGAAAGCAAACTGCTGCCCTAAGGACGCAACTTCACTCTTGTACAAAAATCCACTATGGGAGGGAAGGCAGGAAACTGCAGGGAAGATTTTTGAGCATCCAAGTGCCCCACGACTGTCAAAACCCCCGAGCGGCAAGCATGACCTGCAGAGCTCCCCACGCTGGGCTAAACTCATGCTGGTAGGACAGGGCTTGAGATGTTCCTCACTCCTTCTTCACTGAAAGCCATGGCACCTCGGGACACTACACTCCTCCGCTCTACCTGCCCTCCAAAGGTAAATCCTGAGATGCCAATTCTGCATCTCAAGGCAGCTCAGCATCCGCACAGCCTGCACTGCAGGTGCCCGGGGATGAGCATCATGCACGTCATTACTAATTAAAAAAATCAGGGCCTAAATTAAAGCAAGCATTATGGCTACAGCCCAGTCATACCATGGGAGGCCTTGATTAACAGGGCTCTGTTAATGACACAAATTAGCTCATTAGCACACAGATGATTCGGTAACCGGCTGCAGCAGCGAGGGGAGGAATCCAAAATGCCTCATTAAAGCTCTCCCACGCAGCCAATGTCCCAAGACTCAGCCAGCAGCACTGCAGCCGCCGCTGCAGTCCATGCTGCGGATGGATTTGCAGCCATCTCCTTCCACGGGAGACCACTGAGGGACAACTGTTCCCCTGAGGCACCGGTGCCGCAGGAAAACTCACTTTTGGAACCATCCCATGCTGTTCTGCAGGACTCATCCATGCTGGTTGTGAAGGGGGCTCAGCTGGTTGCTGGGACCACAAAGGCACCGCAGCAAACATTTTCCTTTCCTTGAGTCTCATCTCATCACTTGCATCCAGGCTCGTGACCAGCCATGTGCCCATAAAATGCCTGTTTCTCACAGCACCTCGTTTATCTTCATGACACACGAACCAAGGCAGCTGGCTAAACTCCAAGTTAGCCACACACATGGGAGGCTAAAAGCACGCTCGACACCCAAGCTACAAGCATCTGATGTGTAAAGAAAAGAGATTATTTCTGTTCTATTACATCCTGCACTTGGGTGGGCAAATAAACCAGTAATGTCACCTCTTTCATTATCAAGAGCAGCACAGTTTGTTTGCTCAGGCTGCCATACAACGAAGAGTAAAAGAGAAACCTCCCGGGAGCCGGGCACTGCCATTTCTGGGTCACGGCACGGTGGGAAGAGATGCTGCCACCGGTCCCTTCTGCACCTGCGGTTGCCTCTGCCGAAGTGACTCTTCCCACAGCTGCTGGGGCAGCAGTTTCTGCAGCATCTTATCCATTTTCTCTCTCCACTGCCCTCCCTTGGCTGTGTTTCCTCTCCATCCATGCCAAACCCAAGTCTTGCAGAAGAATGTTATCAGCCCTGCTGCCCTCCCTAAATCATATGGCAGGCTTAAACCGAGGGAGGAAGGGAGTAAGAAAAACAACCACTATGTTTTCGTCTGCTTTCTTCGCCTTTTGGGTTTTCCTTTAGCACCCATTGCTCTCCCATAAAATTCTTAGGTAATCCTCCAATGCAGGGGCCAGGACTAGAAGGAAACCACGGGGCAACAAGAGACCTGGACAAGGGTGTCTGGGACATCCAAGACCCCACTGCTGCAGAACGGGTCTGCACGTCCCGTGCTCTCTCTGTGCTGACTGGTGCCACTGTCCCTGCAACACGCAGACAGGCAGGAGAGCATTCGGATGCACAAGGGTTTGCAGACCTCACCCCCCCAAAGGTGCCCTTCGAGCCCATGGGGATGCCAGAGATGAGACCTGCCATGAAACCGCCCCAGCGAAACCCAAAGTATGCCAACACGCCAGGACGGAGGGCACAGAACGAGTGATGCCACAAAAGCAGCATCGCTGCACCCACGCTCTGCACAGGCACGTAAAGCAGAGGAGAGAGCAGGAAAAGGTCGGATATTTTAAGCTCCCGCTTGCGATGACTCCCTTTGATTCTCCTGAGCTCTGTGCAAAGCCCTCCTCCCCCTTTCCAAAGCCTGCCTTTCAGCTGGCAAAGCCTATTGAACCCCCAGAGAAGAGCAAGTCCAGGATCAAGGCTTTTTCCCCCAAAGGATGCTGAGACACACTGAATGGGAGGGGAGGGCCCGAGCGACAGCACCAACAATGGCACTTCAAACAGCAAAGCGGCCGGGCGGACCGAGGTGACCTCGTCTCCCATCCGGCACCGAAGGCACCGCAGCCCCTCTGCTCCCAGCTCCGGCATGGGAGCTGCGGCTCAGCCGCGTCCTCGCAGTGTCTGCGTACCACAGGCTCCTGCGAGGGGTGGAACCATGAATAGGACGGTGCTGACATGGGACAGCAGATGGAATCTTCAAGGATTGAAGCCGGAAAACTTGAGCAGTGTATCCAAGTTTTTACTTATTTATTTATTCAAGAATCAATTAACCTTTTCAGGAAAAAAAAAAAAAGACCAAACCTGCAGCCCATCTTGCAAAGTCACAGTGGAATAATTGTCACGTTTTAGTCAAACAAAAACCCGGCTGAGATTTGAACTTTAAATAAAGTGAAAGAATGTAGAATTAACAGATTGCCTGCTCGTTTGCAGGGGCGACATCGCGTGCGCTTTTAGCGGGAGGGAAGGATTTCACAAACCATCTGCCAAAGTCTGCTGGGACACAAGCAGTCCTAGGACAACAGCTCAGAAATCCTGTTTCAATCTTTTGCCCTTTTTGAGTCTCCGCTGCAAGCTCAGGAACACATGAACCCAGTTTTCCAGTCTCCTCCTAATCACTGCTATTCTAAAGTGAGTTCCAAATTTTAAAAAGGCCAGAAAAACGCCACTGTAGGGCAGTAAGAGAAGGGACAACGCAAGCCTCAGACCTTGGGAGGAAAAAAGTGAGATGCTTCAGCATCGCCAGGCATCGCTTGCTTTGGCAGGAGCAGCGGAGCACGGGCAGCTGGATCCCCGGCAAGGTGGGATGCCTGCAAGAGTGAGAGCAAAAGGAAGGCAGCGTATCTAATCGTGCGTGCTAACTAGTATCGAGCGGCAGCGGAGATACGTCGTGGCCTCCCACCACACAACTACAAATGTGAAATTCAAAGCAAATCAACAGAATGGAACCGCTGGCTCTTCTCCTCGTGCTCTCGGTGCTATCAGCGGGATGGTAAATATGCACGAGTCCTTCTCTAAAGTACATTCAATGCAGGAGCTGCGCGGTCTCTTATTTCGTGTGTCACACGCAGTTCCAGAACAGGCAGCAGCTCGAAACATCGCCCCACAAAAAATGAGTAAATCAAACTCAGTGTGGTTTATAGGCAACGGCGGTTGGGGTTTTGTTTGTTTTTAAGAGAATCTGCCAGTCCACCGAAAAACTGCCACGAGGGGACACAACGCAAGCCAAACCTTCCCAAAGCCCTGAACTTTTACAATCCCCCAAAGCCACTGATGCTTTAACAGCTGACGTTAAATTTCCCTGCCCCAGCTCATTAACAAACTCACTAATTCCTCAATTTCATCAGCTTCCTCCATGCAAGAGTGACCCAGGCCACAAAGGCAACGCTTTGCCTCCTGCCGACCACTACCCACTGCCCCAGGGCGAGCCCGTGCCCACTGGTCAGGCAGAGCGGGCCCCCCGGCTTCCGATGGTCCCCATGACGGACAGGGAAGCATCTGGCTCCCAATACCCCTGGGAGCCACGCACCATGTAATGGCTCCACTTTAGAGGGAACATTGATTTGAGAGGAGCACAGGGACAAAGCTAATGGAGTAGCACTATCAGCCCACTTTAACGCTTTCCCCATTAATTTAGGGTAAGAGGTGCCAGAGGACTGCTGGGAACCTATTTGTGGCTTCATGGAAACGATGCACCGTGAGCAGCCGGTGACCAGGTCCGCCACCACAGCTGCTTCCAGCCAAGTCAACTGCAAGAGCGTAGAGCACGGCACCGGTCCACATGCGTGCCCACAAGCCAGTGGCAACTGGGACCACTGGGATAAGGTTAAATTATGTCAAAAAAAAAGGGTAGTGACCACAGTACCAAGTTCTATGGAAAGCATCACGGCCTCGGAGCAGCCGATGGAGAGCGAAGCCCCGTGGGCCACGGCAGGATGGCATCGCTCACAGCACCGGGGCCACCGATCGCACCCGCTCCACTACCCGGGCACGAGGCAGGGCAGCCGCACAGGGCGAAAACCTCTCACCCGGCACATCGGCAATCAAATCCAGGTGGGGAAAGATTGGAAAGCAGCACACGTGTGACCCTCAGCGCCAATCTGAGCATTGCTTTTAAGAGTAAAAGTGTTTTAAAGGTAATTTTCTAGAAGATTTTAAAAAAAGCTAATCAACTTCCCCTCGGAAGAGAAAGAGTGCATTAGACACCATTGAATACCTGCTGCTGCCGTTTCCCATTCAGCCCATAAGCTCCACTTTCCTCCAAAGGAGAGCTTGCTATATTTGACCTTTACTTAAACTTTACATGGAGTTTCCATTTGTCTTCTCTGTGAACTCTTCTGCTTATAGATTCACTCTCTAGGAAGACAACAGTATTTTTTTTTTTTTTCCCTCAAGGGGCTGGCCTCATTTTTGAAGATCTCCTCCCGCAATCTTCTCTGTTCTCTGGAGTTCACGTATGTCATTTTATACCTATTCCTGATTATCCTTTGGGAGAAGCTGCACATTAGACTGAAAAGCGATTAACTATTATAATTGATTCGAACACAGCCTCTGAAAGGGTGATTTGCTACAGTCTGCACAGCAGAGAGAACCACAGACCCCAAGAAAACATGCTGCCTTCGGAGGAACCAACTGGTGCCCACGAAACCCTGCGATGGTTCGGTGATGGAACCCAGTCTCACCAGTAAGGCTGAAAGCCTCAGTAACGCAGCTGCCCGCATTGGTGCTTC